CTGCTGATGGAGAACATCAATCTTGGTATCTAACTTTTCTCTATTGAAAGTTGTTGTTTTGCAACTGTTTTCATCCTCTACATGAAACATAGGCCTATACCTAAGGCAGCCACTTAAAAGATGAAGAGGCATGACTTCTGCACTTTGCTGACATACCATCTTCTGAATTTCACAGAATAAAATGCTGTAAGACCATTTCCAATTAGTTATTAGCATAGGATTAAAAAAGGTTCCACAACTGGTTTGCAAGTGTGGTCTGAAAGAGATTATTTAAAAAGACTTGCCCATGCCTGACTACAGAAGTTAAATCTCTGTCTTCCTGGAAGAGACCATTAATAAATGAACTAAACAATAGTAGCTCCCCAATTTATGCATAAGCACCAGCTTTTTCTGAATACCTACAGTAAATATCATATTACTATTGTAACATAATACCACATCAAGGGAACTAAACTTCCAAGTCGTAACAGTTATCTAACCTTACCTTCTAACCCAGAAAATGAATAGGAAAATCTTCCAATAAATATTAAGAGTTGCAAAGAAATTGAATGTGGCCATATTTTTATTTCTCAAATATTTCTACAGCTCTTGCATAAATTAAGCTTCCCACTTCATTTCCAATACTGACTAATTGACTGATAGCTACTGCTACCACTTTATGGGAAGCAAGTGTCCTATGAGTTAACATTGCGTCACTAAGGAATTTACATACCCTACTAATTAAGTTCTGGAACAGCATGTTAATTGCTGTAAATGTCTTGAATATTTCTGTAAGGAGCTTGGTTTTCTCCTCTTAAAAGGGCACCCATTTCCCTTAGACCTCTAACACAACTGGAAAAAATGTTATCTTTCCTTTGTCAGGAAACGCCCTCCAGAAGTGAAACTAAGAACGGGCTTGATCTGATACAGCCTAGATCAGTTGCCTCAGATCATTGCCTTCTGCAAAGGGAGACTGAGAGTAAGAACTACATTGGTTTGATTTTTATTTGTTACTGCTTTAGACAGATGTTTTTATCATGGCAGCTTTTATGAAATCTTTTTGACATTCTTTTATTAATTCTTGAGCTTAAATTTTGTAAATTATCCAGTGTTGAGGCTAGAGCATTAGAGAACTTCAAATAATAAAGGAATTTGGGAGATGTCAAAAATAATTACAGTCTCAGTGAAGGGGACATCCAGGTACATGTACAGGACTATTGAAAAATACGGCCTGTAAGGTTTAGATATTGCAGTTCAATAACTGTTTACGAACATTTCCACTATTCCAACTGCTATACAAACTGTATATTGAAGTGCATCTGCAAGCTAGACACAAGTCATTAAGTTACACAGTTTATCCATAGGTATTCAGCCATCCCAGTTATTTCATCCCACAGGTAAATGTGACACAGGTAACACTTGTTTCCTTACTATTCAGCTTTTAAAATTAGAAAGCCAAAACCAAAATTTTCTGCGCAAAGAGTAACCAATTTCTTCAAAAACTTCGCAAACCACATTCGCACTCCTGAAGAAAAACTTACCTGAAAAAGTTACCTGGGAACTACATAGGCCTTTTAGCAATAGCCTTGTTTTCATTAAATTTGGTGCAAATCTTTCCAGTGCTGTCATTGGAAACAGTATTTTCTATTCTTGAAGCAATGAGCAGGTGAAGCTACCTAATGAGAGTTTTTAATCTTTTGCCTTTCCAAGCAGGAAGTTTGAAATTAGTATTTTCATTTGACTTTTGTTTCTTCGTAGATTTCAGTTCGACCAATTAAAAACGAAATCAGTATTAAAATGTTTATATCACTTCTTGACATTTGCACCCTTGCTATGCACTTTCGGTCCACAACTGACTATGTAAAAATACTTGCTTTGCAAGTATAAAGCTAAAGCATACTTCCTGGTAACCACACACGGACCTTACCTGCATCATAGTGACCACATGACATGGATTCAGCAGGTAAATGACAGTCTTGGTAGCAAACTTGAACCCCACCTCCAGCCCAAAGATGAGGCAGACAGCCACCAGTAGCAGATTTTTGCCCCAGCTCTCCTGCTTAACCTGGGGCTGCTGCAGTAGATGGCCCTCCAGCTCCCTGAAATGCAGCTGCCTCAGTTTCCACAAGGACAGAAGGATCTCCACAAAACCCACGCTGAGGAAGACCAAGCTCTCCAGCAGGCGCTGCTGCCCGGAGAGAAAGGCAGCACATTCGGGCCCTCCATTGCCAGCAAAGCTGGGGTCCACCCCCCCGTACAGCCAGTCCAGGAGGTTATGGAGGCTGTAACGGGCCATGGCGGGATAGCGCCTCTTCTCCTCCCCGTCACTGTCCCGGAACAGGTTGGAGCAAGATGGAATCAAAGCCAAAATGCTGTCAGGCTGACGAAACATGAAATGCAAGGACGTCCTCTCTGTAAACTTCTTCCCTCCTAAGCTTCGGCAAACGCCAGCAGCCCGGCTCAGAACAAGGCTAGATTTCGGCTTTTCTTCCCGACGCCGGGACGGTAACTGCAAGCAACAGCCTGCGAGGGGAGAGGAGCTGCAGATGAACGGGGGTCACTGAGCAGCGGTGCCAGCCCGCCGCCCCAAGACCCGTTACCTGCCACCCCCGTTAACACCCTTCGCTCTCCCCCGCCTGAAC